TCATTGAGTATCAGAATGGATTTTTCATGTGCGGTAACAGAACACCAACTTCAAATGTGTTTCGGTGGTCTATTTTTATGCTGATTACAGTCATGTTTTCTCACTCATAGAGACACAAGACCCATAATGCCTGGAGGGCTAATTTAATATTTTGTGTGTGGATACTCCCAGCCATTCATTCCTCTGCTTCAGAACATTGCAAGAACAAACAAAACTGGCGCAGAACTAATCTTCCTAAAATGCTATTTGCACACACTGCAAATATGGCTATCATTAGGGCTGTAAGCTCCTGAGATTAATCCATGTAATTGTTCTATTTAAAATTTAAAACATGGATTAAAACAGCAAAACAGTTAGTCGGTGAGACAGGTGCTCACTCATGGAACGGAGTTATTTGGGCTCTGAAGCGCCATAGTTCGCTTGAATAAAGCAAATCAATTCCAAAGGAGACTCTGGCAGCTCACTGCCTCTAGAGTTCTGGTAACTGCACTATGGTACTGTCAAGATTGTGAAAACTGCTCATGTCCTACAATTTTGGCTCTGCCAATTACACCATGCCAATATATTGAACGAGATATAGGCACACAAGGCCAGTACTTTATGGTGAGCTTTAGCTATGTCTCTCTGATGATCTACCAGAAATACATTTCTTGTTCAGACAGGTGTATAAGTAAAGGTAAACGCTGCCCTTGACATTTAGTCCAGTCGTGTCCGACTCTAGGGCGCTGTGCTCATCCCTGTCTCCAAGCCGTAGAGCCAGCGTTTGTCTGAAGACAGTTTCTGTGGTCACGTGGCCAGCCCGACTAGACACAGAACGCCCATTACCTTCCCACTGTGGTGGTACCTATTTATCTACTTGCATTTGCATGCTTTCGAACTGCTAGGTTGGCAGGAGCTGGTACAAGGGATGGGAGCTCACTCCGTCGCATGGATTCGATCTTAGGACTGCTGGTCTTCTGACCCTGCAGCAGAGAGGCTTCTGCAGTTTAACCCGCAGCACCACCACGTCCCCTTTTCAGGTGTATGCCTCTGGTTAATTCTACCCGCTGTGTTAAAAAAGTTTTCATCCATCTCAACTTTATTCAAAGATGCTGTTGATTTTCTCTGCACTATAAAACTCAGTAGAAACCACTGAGAATTGGCGGGGAGGGTCACATACACACATATGTTCAGGCAGATATAGTAGTTACAGGGTTTGAATTGGATTTAGGAAACCTGGGCTCAAATCCCCCATTCGGCCATGAATCTTGTGTGACATTGGGCCAGTCACACACACTCAGATTCTTGTAAAGATCAAGTGCGTAGGAGAGCCTTGTACACGATCTTGAGTCCATTGAAAGAAAGTGAGGCATAACAAATATCTCTATATATATTAATAAAAAATTAAAACAAAATGTGGAGTCCCACATCCAACAACTGAGGCTCAAAAGCTGGGTTATGTCAAGCCAGTGAAGTTAATCTTGGTCAAAGAAGGCCATGCCCAGTGCAGAATTCAAGCATTCTGATTTACTTCTTACAGGCTTCTTTAAAAGTTGGTCAGTCGGGCAGGAGTGGATTCTGTGGTCCCAAACTCTGCCACGTCATGCAAAGCCAAGCAACTGTGCAAATGCAAGTAGATAAATAAGGAGCACCTCGGTGGGAAGGTAACAGCATTCCGTGTCTAAGTCGCACTGGCCACATGACCACGGAAGATTGTCTTCGGACAAAACGCTGGCTCTATGGCTTGGAAACGGGGATGAGCACCGCCCCTTAGAGTCGAACACGACTGGACAAAAATTGTCAAGGGGAACCTTTACCTTTACCTTACAGCAGAACAGACAGGAAGACTGAGAGGCGATTTTCATTCCCTACAATGGATCACCGGATACTCAGCCTTTGTGTTACTGCAGCTGCCTGCAATATCAGATCACTAATGCACCACCCTTCTTGATTTTGCAACATACCATGGCACACTTTTTTTTGTTTGTTTGTTTGCTGGCATGATTTTGGGATCAGGTTGTTACAGTCTTAACACCCTTTAAAGAGCTTTAGTAAAACAGATAAGGCTAAAGGTCTTACGGTAGACATATTTACAAAACCATCTTATGCTCATTGTGAGCCTGCTCTAATAACTGATTGGTATTTTTTAAAAAAATATATTAATATATAGGTAAATTTGAAGGAAATCAAACAATACATTTCCCACTGTACTTCATAATCAGTTACTCAAGACTGTTTAGCAATGCACATTGGCTGAAATCTAACAGAATAATGTATACCATTTGAAGCTGATGACATAGTCATTGGAAATTAAAACACACACACACACACAAATCTAAGGTTCCCCTGCTATCACTTTTGCCATGGGGAAACCATTGGGAGCTATAAGACTGGGGCAGGGGAGTCTTTAATTTCTAAAAATCGCTGTCACCAGCATGTGGTGACCGTTTTAGGAAATGAAAGCTTCCTCCCACACTATTGCTCCCAATGGCTTCCTCACAACAAAGGGGGATCATAAGGGAGCCTTGGGATTTTTGCAGGATGGGATCAGAATTTTTTAATTTCCAAAAATGCAACATGACTGGTTACATCATCAGCTTTACATGGAATAAGTTATACTGACAGATTTCGGCCACTGTCTGAAATGAATTTTAACACCCCCCCTTTCTCTTTCTCCTGTTACCAAAGTCCCACAGAAGCACCAATAAAGCAAAATAAAATTTATCATGCAAGGAATGACCTTCAAGCACATGCTTTAAAATGAACTAGCTCAGTTTTGAAGGATTAATGAAATAATAAATATAATCTACACTCTCGATATACTGGTGAATTCTAACTGTTGACAGCAACAAAGCACATTCTATTTCGGAAAAGCGGATAGCCCAATAAATTCTGTTATTTGCACAGCCAGTGAATGCAGTCTTGCTGAAAGATCTGCAGTAGTGCTGTTACCATTTATCACGAAAAAAGAATGTTTCAGTTCAGGACATAAAATTGAATATATGTGTGCAGGCACACGTACTCATCTCTCACACACACACGTACTTGAACGGATGGAACAATTAATTCTAGCAGAAAGCCAACAATACTATTCTCTCTATTTGGCATTCAGATCTTGGCTCACAAAGACACTGAATAGAACGATAACAAATCTAATTTTATAACATCAAGTATTGCTATTCCTGATTGACAAAGTAAAAGCAGATACTATTTAACATATAGCCTGCATTTTAGTCATGCCTTATACCTTGTCTAACCATTAACTAAAACCAGATATGTCTCCCAGTATGGCCAATATTATCATACAGTCCATAAGTTTCCATTTATGAAAAATAATACTCAACTTAACTTATCTACAGATGGGAAACCCTGACATCTGAGTGTTCAGCCTTGAGGCAGGCGGTACATTATGGCCTCTCCCAATTTGAAGAGACCCTTGTCCAGCAGGCCGAGGCAAAGAGGAAGTCACAAAAGCAGCAAAATCAGGGAGCTGGACAGGGGACCGATTGGATTTGTCTTCAGTGTGGAAGGGATTGTCACTCTCGAATTGGCCTTCTCGGCCACACTAGATGCAGTTCCAAGACCTCCATACAGAACACGTTACCATAGTCTCTCGAGACTGAAAGATGCCTAATATTAACTAGCACCATGACCAAGAACTAGTACCAAACTTCGGCTATTTCCTCCTCCCTTCCAGTCCCTTTTCCTTTTGTGTTATGTCTTTTTGATTAGAAGCCCAAGATCATTATTATTGGTCTTTATAAACCTCACCGGGAGCTGCTCTCGGCTGAAGTGTGGGGTAAAAATGCTTCAGATTAATAAAATTGATGCTACGCCAGTTATAAGTAAATTGTTCATATAGGGTACTAAATGCATCTTTACAGAAGTGCTCTTTCAGAGGATGAATTTATGACATGAGGAAGGGAACGCACACAAAAGCCAAGGAGCTATTCCAAAACCTCTCAAGTGCAGTTTATTTAGAACACTTGAACCCAACGAAGTCTATACTTATGGGTTTACAAGGGAATTTGTAGGAAGAACAGATTGTACTGCTGACTACACCAATAATGGAGGTGTGTCTCTAGATTTGACTGAACAGCAATAATGGAGTTGTGTCTCTAGATTTTCATGAACCAGAGCAAGGCTAGTAGTAACTGGGAATCTAGTTCAGCAAAGCTTTTCACCACTGGCTGGTTAAACACTGTGAGTAGTGTTATCAGGCTAAGCGAAGGAAATGTTTAAAAGCTTTGTTTTAAAAGGAGCCCTCTTACAATTAAAGATTCATTAGTAGCAATCCAGAGAGAGGTTCTGCAGGACTTTTATAATCTCTTAGTCCATGGCTGTGATTCAACTCTCCTTCTACAAGCAAGTTCATCAGCACTGCTCCACTCACCATGCCCAACGTTAAAACTTTCAGCAACTGTTTTACCATGGAAATGCACTTAAGGCACTAAGAAGATCTGTGTACGTTTTAAAGGAAGGGAAAAATGACATCGGACAAACGTGCAATGAATAACCTAAATTAGCCTGGAACCCTTGTTTAGAACAAACAATTGCATTTAGAAAAATGTGTTTTTAAAAGTGATCCAGACTGCAGTCATACTATCCCTTGCTATTAGCAGGGAAGAGAACAAGGTCACCTTCGTACAACTTTAGTGCAGAATTAGGGATTCAGAACAGGACTGACCCGCTAACAGGGAGGAATGGGGGAATGTGAAAGAGACGGCTACTCAATCAGTAGCATCAAGAGACACAGACGGGTTACAAATTAAAGATGTTGCTGCAAAACAGTCAGAAAATAAAGGTGTAGGACCACTGGGAGAAGCTAAAGAAATCTGAAGAGGAGACCACAGCACACTCCGAAGATGAAGGAGAAGGGTTACTGAGGTCACTTAGGCAACATTCATAGCCAACAATGTGTCGGTTACTTAATAACGGGGAACAAAGACAACAGATTCATAATGGAACTCTCCAAATTACTTTATTTTCACAGAGATAAGCAGAAAAAAAAACAAACTCACCTGTATATTGCCAAAGTCAACGTTTTCATAATGGAAATGTGCACATTCGGCCATCTTTGGAAAGTGGCCCTTGGTGAAGGACAGCCTGAAGCACAAACAAGAGATCAGATATCAACTACTATACTCATCTTTATGCTAGTAAAATACTGGCCTTGCCAAACATGTGATTTGGAATCTAGTAATTTCTAGGCTCTTGAGAGTCCCCTGGACTGCAAGGAGAACAAACCTATCCATTCTGAAGGAAATCGACCCTGAGTTCTCACTGGAAGGACAGATCCTGAAGCTGAGGCTCCAATACTCTGGCCATCTCATGAGAAGAGAGGACTCCCTGGAAAAGACCTTAATGTTGGGAAAGTGTGAAGGCAAGAGGAGAAGGGGATGACAGAGGACAAGATGGTTGGACACCGTCGTCGAAGCGACCAACATAAATTTGACCCAACTCTGGAAGGCAGTGGAAGACAGGAGGGCCTGGTGTGCTCAGGTCCATGGGGTCATGAAGAGTTGGTCACGACTTAACAACTAAACAGCAACAACAACAATTTCATATCAAATACGAAGTGAAAAGCTATCCATGTGACACAGGAAAACTGTGAGGAAAGAATTCTAGATGTGAGGTTGCTGATGTATTTGTCACTTCTTACAGGCTTTTACAGAAATGAGTGCACATTCCAGACCAGTGTTTCCCAAGAGGGTGGAGGGAGATGGAAAATTAAGGTGTTGTTCTCCTAATATCAAAGGTGTGAGCAATGAATCAAGGAGTGTGAATAGCATCACCAAAATGAAGCCACTGTTTTACCTGTGGAAGGAATCACAGCCCATCAATCCTGGGTTGGTGGATCTGGGGAGCAGGAACAATGTTTTTACTTGTCTAGTGTAAATCTGGTGATGGACTATAATTATCTTCAAGCACTCCAACTGCATTAGGTATTGGTAGAGGCTATCACTTCAGCCGGTGCTGAAGTTTTCATGGTTTTTAAACTCCTAGAGCAAGTATCTTTGGTTGTAAAATAATGGACTGTGATCATCACTCACTCTTCCTCTAGGACTTTGGAGGGAAAATGAGATTTAGCATCTGGCCTTCCCCCACTAGAAAATAGGGTCATCAGATTTTCTAGCAGAATCAGCAGATGATGGATGGGTGTACTGAATAAATCCATCTCAGCCTTCTGAGCCTTAAATCAATATTAGAGCTAAAACAGTTCAAACGCAAACCCAACTAACAGATTGTATGGGAGTGCATTCCGCTTAGGGAGGTGAAAAGGGAACAAAATAGTAAAAGAAACAAAATTAAAGATACAGTTATGCTCAGAAGAAGGCATTTTGTTCCCAAACTTACAGTAGCTGAGACACATATGAACAGAAGCTGGGTGCATACTTCTTACACATTCCTTTGGGGTTTTTTTTGAGAAATAATTCAGACATTGGATCAAACTAGACAAGGAAATTTACCTATGGCTTGAATTGACAGGTAAGGGTTTGGAATCAACCAGCAAACCAGAATCAGGGGTCACGTGTATTTCAGGTTACACTGCTGACAATCTAGTGTTCATTTGGAATTTACAATTTCAGAGTGGCAGCCATAGAATCTAGTGTCTGTACTGTAGAAGAGACATAGATGAAAATGAAAACTTCCTAAAGGTTTTCTCCATACTGCGTGACTTTACAAAGGTTTCTTTACATTTCTTTTGTATTTCAGAACTTTTTCAGGTGAAAAAATCTGCAAAGTATTTTATTTCTACAGAAACTGCTGCCTCGTGCAAAAAAAAAATTACAGGATTTTTTGTGCAAAATCCTAACTTTTTTGCTACCGTCGTTAATGCTGCTGCTGACAAAAGAAGGCTCCAGTCTTTTCACTCTTAAGCAAGACAGAAGAATTTTCCATCACTTGGCCATTTTTTTTCCAATGGGCATCTCAATATGCCAAGGGGCCTCCTTCACCAAAATTGGCAGACAAACATCTGCAAATATTCTTCCTTAACATGGCTCAAGTCAACAGCTCCACATCTGCACCAGACCACCAAGTCAAAAAGCTCATTCAATTTGCTCATTGTCATTCCAAAACCTGTTGGCAACAGAAGTTATTTTGAAAGAAGAGTAACAAAAGCTGGAGAGTTTTATGAATAATCTCCTGTTATTCTTTCCCTGCTTTCCAGATGTGATACATTAAGAAGCATTACAAATGTGGGTGGGCTTTCAGCAGATCTGAATGTATTTCCTGTTACCTTCTGTAAAGTCAGTTTGTCATTATTTGCTTTGTTTTTTTTAAAGCTCATGTGAAGAGCAAATAATCCACTAATCTGGAATTGACCAAAGTAGCGAATGATGATTTTTTTAAAAAAGGAACAAATCAACTTACTTCTTCACATTTTTCACTTTCATGCTCGCTGTGCTCCCACAAGTCCGCAAGGGTAGCTCTCCTGCAATATCAGGGATATCTGCTCCTCTCGCCTGGAGTGAATAAAATTAAAAGGTAGGAAACTTTTAGATGGTTTTGGCAGCACTGCCAGTTCCTGAGAGTGAGAAAACCTATCTGAATTTAAACAGTTGGGTTCACTATAAACCCCAAGTGTCAATGCTACACTATCAACAACTTGTGCCCAAGAAACAAACAGGCTTTTTGTTTTAGAGATAGTATAAATGTATAAATATTTGTCATAGAATCAGTCCCATTCTTATGTTTCAAGAAGTGCACTTGTCCACAAAAGCTCACATTAAAATACAGTAGCTAGTCTTTAACATGCCCCAACTTTTCTGCCTTCTTTATTTTTCTTCTGTTTTTTTGGGAACTGATATACACATTTTTTTTAAATGTGGTTTATAGCCCAATGGATAATCTCTAACATTTCCAAAATGTTCTCTCATGGATATTCATGGACAGCAGCTAAGAATTTTTTTATCCACATGCTTATGCATAAGTAACACAAGTTAATTCAGTCCATATAGTTTCATCTAGGGCAAAACATTGTAGGACATTCACATTAAATTGGATCCTAAGAAGCACAGGTAGAAAATAACCCTGTAGTATAAATAGTCTGTTTCTTGCCAAATTGATGGTTAGCAAACCCTCCAAAGTGTGGAGGTATAGGCATCAGGGATATTGACAGGTCACCAAAAAAAATCAACAGGAAAACATCTCGCATAAACAGAAACTGATACAATCCTCAATCTGGGCAAAAGAAAAGAATTAAACAAGAAGAAATCAAAACACGGTAGCACTTTAAACCATTTTAATTTCAGTTTGAGTTTCCACAGATTTTTTAATTTGGATCCATTAAAGTTCACACTGAAACAAAATTGTTAGCCTTTAAGGTACTACAGTATACAGTATATTCAGTATATGTATTTTTTCTTTCTTTCTTTTCTTTCTATTCTCTTGGCAAAATGCTGAGACAGACTACCATAGCTGTCACTTTGAAAATTCTGCATCTGTAAGCAATCAGAAAAACAATTGTACCAGCCTGATGATCTTTAAAGGTGTGTACACCATATTGTTTGGAAACATGTGGTGTGTATCATCATTTACTATGAAGAAAGGATGCAGAGTCATGAAACTGAAACAGCAATTTGATATTTCTGAAATACTGTTTTTTCATTGATCTAAATAATACTTTTGAGTTGTGTAATTTCAGTCAACACTTGATTTTCTTTTCTCTTTCATTTTTTCTTCCATCTTGAACTTCTAATTTGTTGATTTAATTGTGTGATTGTTTTATACATATTTTGATAATTACAAAGATGATTCTATTTGATTGTATTTGATGATGTTTTATGCTTGTTGTAAGCCGCCCCGAGTAGACTCTGTCTAGAGCGGCGGGGGAGAAATCAAATAATGAATGAATGAATGAATGAATGAATGAATGAATGAATGAATGAATGAATGAATAGACATATTGCATGTAACTACCTCTGAATTTGGCAAAACTGAAAGAGATTTACAATCAAAGAACCCAAAAAGATCCTAAGATATTTTTAAAAAAAAGATTCTGGAAGAAAGGAATGGTTGAGGAGAGGGAAAAGTATAAGCCTTGTATTACTAAATCCTCAAAGAAATATAAACAATTCTAGATGCAAATCAACAGACACAAAACTTTATTCTCTCTTTCACTCCAAAAGATGCACAGGGGAAACCTGTTTATGATTTGACATTTCTTCATACACCTATATGGGAGGGACGTGGTGGCGCTGTGGGCTAAACCGCAGAAGCCTGGGCTGGAGGGTCAGAAGACCAGCAGTCATAAGATCGAATCCACATGATGGAG